CAAAAAGTAGACAAATTCACTTACTTCTCAAAATTATCCTGGCTTTCTAGCTATGCAACAAGAGCCGTTACAAATTAATCCGAGCTAGTCGTTAACTTTTCCATGGGAATGATGCTGGTACTCTGAGTGAAATTGACATCTAACTGTTCAGAACATAACATTATACAATACATCATTTTAGAGATGAAAACCTTGACTATCTAATGGTTATAGATAATATATAATGACACGTAAGAGAGAACTATCAACAAATTCTGAAAGAGAGGATGTGACAGAAGGGGTCTGATTTTCTATTTGATAATTCTGTAACCAATCAAAATTGAAGACTATAAAAATTATGGTTTGTTTGAGCAATAATGGTTTTATAGAGTAATTTATGTTTAATTTCGTACTTTGTCAAGAGGTGGTGGATAAAATAAGGAAGATGACATGTTAAGAGAAAATGTGTCACGTGGGTCATGGTAGTGGAAATTCATGATTTTTTAAAATATTGCCTTGTAGAATTAAGAACTTAAAACTTGTATACTATTAAAATATGGATTATTAGCTAAGCTTTTATGCTATTCTAATTCATATAACAAACACAAAGTTGTTTAATAAAATTTTGAACATAAGACACTAAATCCTTGCGTAATGCACAATAAAGAATACCCGTGGCGATAGGCTTAATGAAGCTACTCTTAAGTATGGTAAGCGGTAGAAATATTCTATAAACCTTGAAAGATTTTACCGAGTCAGATCGCAAGTTTATGTGCAAAATCTAGCTATCTGTTTGTCTCTACAATGAAACAATAAATGTAATAGCCAGAACAGCCTTTAGAGGAGACATTCAGATTCAATAGTAAAATTTAATGTTTGAGGTGTATCACAAGGCCATAAGCTCTAATAGGACTGTTTTCTAGTTGCATAAAGCTTCTGGAATCCATCCAATGTAGCAACAAGAAACAAAAACTCATAGGAAGAACAGCTACATTATTACAAGTGACAAGGCAAACATACTTACTAAAATCACAGTGACAAATCCAATCAACAAAACCACCAGCACTGCTGAATTCATAATAGAAAGCCAATGAATCTGGAAGATAACGAAAGAATTAGAAATAAACATTCAATCACAGCATTTTTTACTAACAGCAAAAATATTATTTTAAACCGTAGTTATAAATTTCATTCCTAACATAATTTATGTTTTCAAATTTGAAAGTAACTGTATGATTGTTTTCTTAAGTACACACCTCTGACCTCTATCACAGTAACAGAGAATTGGAAGCTATATTCAGGTTAAATTCCCTTCACTCTGATATAATTTGTTTCTTTTGTATATCTGTGCAGAGCTACTCAATGGCTATCTGTATACACCATTCCTAATTAGGAACTGACAGACTACAGGGAAAGCAGCTTGTCAACTCCACCATCAACTCTTGTGTTTCGCTAAGTGAATGACTGAAGTTGATTGTCATTCTTATAACACACCCACATCCTCAAAGTGATGGGTGTGGCAAAGAGATGCAAACCATGGACCCTCAGAATCACAGTCTGGCACACAACCCTCTAGGCATGCAGCTGATATAAAGTAAAATATGAAACATATTTCTATGTATTCTATGATGAACTCCATGCCTTGATTAGATGCGAACTGAATCACATGGCCTGATTAGATGTGAAATAAATCCAATGCCCTGATTAGATGCCTTGAGAACTAAATCAGCCCTCATAAGCCCAGTTAGATTGATAATAAAGAATGTTGCCACATAAACTTTATCAATCTTTAAATATGAGTGTTTACAGGTTTGTATTAAATGAACAGTATCCACTTCCAATCCTTTTTAAATACCAAACTCTATGCCCAGTTCCAAACTTCTTTAAATATTTTTCACTTAATGAATAATATTGCATTAAAAATATTGTTTGGTTAGTTATTATATCTATATAAATCTAACAAAAATACCCAGTAAGTTGTAGTGGTTACAGAGGTGTTACAAAAGTATTCAGTAAGTTGTAGTAGTTACAGAGGTGTTACAAAAATATCCAGTTAGTTGTAATAGTTACAAAGAAGTTACAAAAATATCGCCTGGTTAGTTATTACACGTATAGAAGTGTTACAAAAATACTGTCTGGTTTAGGTATTTTACTTATCTAAGTGTTAACACAATATCATGTTTACATATTCTATTTATCTAAGTGTTATCACAATATCAGGTTTAGGTATTTCACTTATCTTAGTGTTACCACAATATCATGTTTCGGTATTTTACTTATCTTAGTGTTACCACAATATCATGTTTAGGTATTCTACTTATCTAAGTGTTACCACAATATCATGTTTAGGTATTCTACTTATCTAAGTGTTACCACAATATCATGTTTAGGTAATTTACTTATATAAGTGTTAACACAATATCATATTTAGGTATTTTACTTATCTAAGTGTTAACACAATATCATATTTAGGTATTCTACTTATCTAAGTGTTACCACAATATCATGTTTAGGTATTTTACTTATCTAAGTGTTAATCACAATATCATGTTTAGGTATTCTACTTATCTAAGTGTTAACACAATATCATGTTTAGGTATTCTACTTATCTAAGTGTTATCACAATATCATGTTTAGGTATATTACTTATCTAAGTGTTACCACTCTCCTCATGTACTTAGAACACTAAAATAATAAAAGTAAAAGAACACAGTTCAGTCGTAAATTGTTGGAAAAGACAGAAATGTACCAACTGAATAAAAAAAAACAACTGTCAGGAGTTACACAAGCCCAATTCCACTTTTTCTCCTATAATACTTCCTCTTTTGATTGCCCGTTCCAATTTTAGTTGAATTCAATCACAAACATAGGTGTAAATAGCTCCTAAATTTCAGCACTTTTTTCTGCTGTCAGCCTGTCAAGGAGGGAGTTTTAATAACAAGGATTTATTTAGCAACGAGTGAAATTAATTTGTTGTTTTATATGAAGAGAAGTTTTTGAATGATGATTGACTATTTACAAGAAATGTGGTTTTAAGAAAACTATTGCAATAATGCAATTGATGTGATTAGAAAATAACGGTAATCAATGAATATTGGGAAGAGAGACTCTTTTGGTGATAGGCTTTGGTTTCCCGAAGCTAGAAGGCCCTTTATTTTCTTTATGGGTGGCAAAGTTGCAACTGAATATTGGGTAGGATTCAAATTGGGTAGGCTTTGGTTTCCCATAATTTTTTATGGGTTTTTCTACTAGTCACATATAAAACTCATATATTCCAATATAATAAACAGAACCTCTTCAGTGTGTGAAATGACGTACCTCTAATGTTTTGGGGAAAAAGTCATTAATATGTGCTTCCTTGATCTTTTCTGCATAAGTCAATCTGAAAAACACATACATGTAGTTTTTTACAAATATCTTTCAAACAATTTGAAGACGAATCTCACCACAAGCAAAACAGAGTAAATGATTACTACATAAGACTTTTTAGATTCACAGTTCTAAAAAAAAATCTCTATGTTTATTTACATGGAATAAAACACCAACATGTACGTGTAAGTATTGTTTTTATTCTATTAAAGCAACCCATAAATTCACTCATGAAGAGACATAATAAAGCAGATTACTACAGGTAAAATATTCCAATTTTATTTCGTATAAAAACATATTCATTAAATGGTATTTGACTTCACCGTATGAATTTCTTTTTCAGCTTTATTCATTAGTCTTTAAAAATATCTGATACATAATTCTTGTACTGACACAAGGCTTTTCACTGTATATCTAATGCAGTATTCAGTAAGTTGAAATAAAAGATAATACTTAATCTTATTATTTTGGATTTTTTTTCTTGTCTAGTTGTCTCCGTATATCATAAAAAATAATTTCAAGCAAAATGAGCATGTATGTGTAAACAAAACTGCCTCTTTTGATAAAATCCAGTTCATTGTGTGTTAGTTAAACTGGAGTCCAGACTTACTTTGATGGGATCCAATTCACTGAATAAGTGTGTGTTACATCTACTGGAGCCTCCAAATTGTCTAAGGAGAGAGGAGAATGATCCTTCGTGGAAACATTAGCTCCAATAATCTGCATGTAATGTTAAAACTAACATTAGAATTTGAAAAAACAGTTTGAAGTATTCATTCTCTGATAGTTTATTTCATAGAAACAATGTTTCTTACATCAAGTTGAGGAGAAGCCAATCTTGTTGGTTAAGATACCAGTTAAGAAGTCAGATTTTATGTTTAATGGGCATACATATGTTTATGTTGATGGGGTCTGTATGACTTGCTCACTGTAACACAGTTATTTTTACAGTGACGTGATTAGTGGTGACTAGGTGGTTATCACTATAATACAAGTTGATAAGACAAGGAAATACATCGAGTTCATCTCACTACATACGCAATGAGTGTGATGTTCCAACTGACATCATGTAAAACTCAAGATGTAGGGCAACTGGGTCTTCCGACTGCCATTCCGGAGTGGACTCTTAACTATCAGTCCTGTGACTACCAGTTTTAAGAAAGCTCTTAACAAGCAAATTCAACTTTGTCTTCTCCTCAAACTGTGAACTTGTCATTTAAATTCATTAATTTGTATCTTAATTTTGGGTCAGAACATATCTTCACACGAGGGTGAAATCATTACCTTTGCATCAACAAGACTAACCACTCAAAAGCACATCACATGGTAAAGAAAAATGTCATCTCAATCACACACTGTTTTAAAACCCGAAATGTGACCAATGAATCTTTCTATATCTGTATTAGAGAAGATGTGTACCAGAAATAGATTTGTTTTAAATAAAACTGGTGGTAAAATCAGATGATTCTTTGTACGTTTTGTAAAACAACAAAGAAGTAATATTAACATACCTTGTTTTCATTGTATTCTATGTTGAAAGTTAGATGAGTCCACAGGTACAACTTGTGTGTATGTGGTAAAAACCCTCCTTCTTCCAAGTGTCCAATAAATCCACGAAGTGCTAAATCATCTATAAGTAACAAGGCTTCAGTGATTTTTTTTTTACAAAATGTTGAAACAAAATATTTTAAATGGCTTAGTACAACAATTATCATACAGAATTCATCAAGAAAACATTCTCAGTGCTTCCTTTTAGTTCCTTGAACGCAACGCCAATCAATCCGAATTTACAAAAGAAGCTTTTGAATACAGAAAACAAGGTTGTAAAATAAGAATTATAATTTTAGAAATGAGAAAGTAATTCTGGAGAAACGAAGAAATAATAAAGATGAATGAGCTATAAAATTAATTTACTAATGACCGATTGTTATTTGCAATTATTAAATGAGCTCCATTATAAAGGTATTGGGCTAGCGAGATTATAAACTGTTACACATTATATTCAGATGGGATGAAGGTTTATGTTGTACAAATGTTTTTTTTTTCTTCTCCTGGCTCTAATGGGGCTAATTTACAGTATATCATTTGTGAGGTTAATAAAGTAGCTTTTGTATTTTATATGGTAATGTGACAAAGTTAGCTGAATGCTAGTTTCAATTTTAAAATTCACCAATATGGCTTATTTTGTAATTTGTCATGCTTATAAATTATCGTTATGTTATTTATAAATTTAGTCACAATGATGCTAACATATTTAATATAAGTACTGCATTACTCAACAATTATATTAGTTGATTATAGTTATCCTGTCCAACTATATATATATGTTAATTACCCGAGTCTGATAATACATATCCTCATCTAACCATCGTAACTTAACACAACTAACAAACATTCTACAAGCTTTTCCACAGCACAAATATATAATGATAACGATGAAATATTTTCTTCGTTCATTTTTTTTCTATATTTGTAAAAAAAACAAAAAACTTTTACTCATATAAACTTAAATATAATCCTTATATATATAAGACAGTATTTTACATCCTACTAAAACTTAACATCTGTATAATTAAAAGAGAAGCTTTTTAAACTCCATTAAATTAGGAATAAGGAAGAATGAATGACATCCCCACATGCATGAAGGAGGGGGGTGGGTAAAGATAGTACTACACATTGTTCTCTCTCTGAGTCCTAACTCTGAAAGCAGTGTTTATCTATTAATGTTTTGTGTGTGAAGTTGTTTATAGACACTTTGAGTACTGGTACCGTCAGATTGTTAAGTTTTAATACTTCATCACTGCACCCTAGTTTTGATAGCATCATTAGATCTGGTGTCTCTTGCTAGATTAGTCATTTAGCTTGTCATTTTTATCGGACCACTTTGAACTAGAGGTGTTTGGTTTATATCGCGTGTTGTAGAAGAGGCTTAACCTTGTAGTCACCGAGACACTCCATACGACCTCCAGCTTCATTCATTACTCTATGTACCTAACCTCACACCCGAGTAATTTAGGCAGGTCACTTAACTGTAGGACAGCAGAATTGATTCTGATGGGTTTTACATTTTATAAACTTTGTGCATTCAAATAGAAAATACTACAACTAAAGGAATGTTTGAACATGAAGCACGTGTTTTCTCCTATTATGACATGAAGCACGAGTTTTCCCCTATTATGACATGAAGCACGTGTTTTCCTCTATTATGACATGAAGCACGAGTTTTCCCCTATTATGACATGAAGCACGAGTTTTCCTCTATTATGATATGAAGCACGTGTTTCCCTATTATGACATGAAACACGAGTTTACCCCTATTATGAAATGAAACACGAGTTTTCCCCTATTATGAATTGAAGCACGAGTTTTCCTCTATTATGAATTGAAGCACGAGTTTTCCCCTATTATGACATGAAGCACGTGTTTTCCCCTATTATGACATGAAGCACGTGTTTTCTTCTATTA